GTCCGGGGGATGAGAACCCTGCTGACTTGACGACTCGAGGGGTGTCGGCTGCGGAACTGCTTGAATCCGAGCAGTGGTGGAGCGGCCCGAGCTGGTTGGCCTCTCCTCGGGCTCGGCCCGACAGTGGCGAGGCTTGTGATGAGCCGACTGAGTCTGGTCAGGTGACTAGTGTCCCAGTGGAGGTCAGATCAGAGACAGCGGAGGCCGTTGGCGGCAGCTGTCTGGTGGCTGGTACAGGTGAGCAGCCTGTGTTCTGCACGACCCGCTGGTCGTCTTTATCGAAGGCGGTCAGAGTCGTGGGCTGGGTGCGCAGATTTTGTAACAACGCGCGAAACGCGCGTCAGAAGTGCGCCCTTCCCGACCTGTCCTCTGATGAGGTCGTGTCTGCCCGGCTGGTGCTGCTACGGGAGGAGCAGCGGCTGGCGTTCGCTGCTGAGCTGAAAGCGCTGCAGCAAGGCAAAGAGGTTGCGAGGAGCTCGAGCGTGCACTCGCTGACTCCATTTCTAGATGGTGATGGATTTCTGCGGATCAGAGGCCGGCTGCAGCAGTCCGACTTGTCCTATGACGAGCGGCATCCGATTCTGCTTCCCAAGGGATGGGTCGCCGAGCTGCTGGTTCGGGACCAGCACCGCCTGATGAATCACTGCGGTGTATCTACGCTCATCTCCGCTGTCCGAGCAGCGTACTGGATAGTGGGTCTGCGCTGCCTCGCTAAGCGAGTCAAGCGCTTCTGTGTTAGTTGTAAGCGGCAGGATGCTCTAGCCTGCAACAAACCGGCGGCGCCGCTGCCGCGTGACAGAGTGACCCGAGCGCCACCGTTCGCCGTCACAGGGGTGGACTTTGCGGGGCCCATTTTCGCTGTAGATTTTCCGCGTCGCAAGTTTTATGTGTGCCTCTTTACCTGCGCTGTGACGCGCGCGGTTCATCTTGAGCTCACAGCATCTTTGTGCCAAGCAGAGTTCTTGATGGCCCTCAGGCGGTTTGCGGCCCGAAGGGGACTCCCGTCCGTTATTTACTCCGATAACGCGCGGACGTTTTGTGGAGCCGACGCGATGCTGACGCGCTACTTTGGACACCTCGCTCCCAAGTGGAAATTCATTGTGCCGCGCTCACCGTGGTGGGGCGGCTGGTGGGAGCGCCTGGTTCGCACGGTGAAGGTGGGTCTGCGGAAGTCGTGCGGCTCCAGGTGTCTCTCTCGCACCGAGCTGGAGACGGTGCTCCTTGAGGTTGAGGCCTGCATCAATTCCCGACCGCTCACTCCGGTGACCGACTCATTGGAGGGTGACAGTCCGCTGACGCCCTCCCATTTTTTGACGGGACGCGGCACAGGCTTTCAGTCGAGAGTGCTCGAGGATCCGGAGGCAGTGAACGCCAAGATGCTTTGTGACAGAGCGCGTGTGAGGGAGAGACGGCTGAACCGCTTTTGGTCTGTTTGGCAGACTGAATACCTGCGGACCCTCCCTCAGTCGGTCCGTAGGTTCAGAGAGCACGGTGAGTTACGGCAGGGTTCAGTAGTACTGATTAGAGAGGACAACCTTCCCCGTATGAAGTGGATGATCGGGGTGGTAACTAAACTGTTTCCGGGCAGGGACGGTCTGGCTAGGTCTGCCCAGATCAGGACTCAGGGGGGACAAGTGAAGACCCGAGCCGTCCAGCGATTGCATGATATGGAGGTATATGACCCGTGAATGTACCCACCTGACACTACCTGTCTTGCCGCCTGGTCACGAGTTTGCCATGGAAATGCTCCTGTGTTCCTCCCTCTGCCTGGTAGGTCACACCAGTTAGAGCAGCGTTGTATGTTTGTTTGGATGGTGTTACATCCAAAGGCGGGGATGATGTTATGGATTTTTATTTAGTTGTCTGTTACTGTCGAAAAGTAGCAGTGCTTTAGCTGTGTTTCGCTTGATTGCGTCGCATTTCGTATGAAATGCGTCAGTTTGTGTTCGGCGTGGTCTTTTCGGTTTTTGGTCTTACGCAGGATTGTTGTTGTTCGTTGTTCGGTGGAAGATGGTCGCACATGGCAAAATAGACTCTTGCTGAGGATTAGGAGTTTATTTGGAACAACTCATAAGACTTAAAATCCAGAAGGCTTATATCACCAGTGCGTAGTTCCCCATACCATTACAATGCTCAGAAGCTTCCATCGGTGATTTCCGTGCATTTTTGTGGAGCGCAATCTGTTGCAGCGCGGGGCGCCGCCAGCCGGGCGTCGTCCTCTGACCTTGTGAGGACCACTCCCTTCCCATGGGACGCCCGGTGACACGGTCAGACCCGTTCTTGGGGCGACCTACAGCGGTTTTCCGTCTCAATCTACCAAGAAGCGGTGGAGCTCGTACCAACTGCACAGAAAGCCGTTAGACCAGATAGGATCAGTGCACTCAACCGTTACAAGTACTCACACTGCAGACCAGTTTGGTGGTCAGTGATAGTAAATTTTTGATGCTCTTTACACAACGCCAAAAGCCACTGCGAGCAATTAGGAAAATCATCCGTGTATCGCATGCGTGCATCTGGTTAAAATCAAATGACTTGCGAAATCTTTAGTAGCTCATGATATTTGGATGTTAGATCTAAAATGAGCAAATACACTCACGCTCATTGCGTGCCTACAAAACGACTTAAAATAAAACACCGCCCAAGTTTACCTTGATAGGTACGTTAAGGGAAAACTCTCGCATTTAGAAAGCCCCGGCATACTTTTGAAACGAGTACGCTTCTTCCGGTAGGTTTTGACAAGAAATGCAAGAGGAAAATATGCATACCTATTCACACGATTTTTAACAATATTTAAAAAGGTATTTCATTTTAAAGCGCATACGTTTTACATGTGTACTTGTTTTCTTTTCGTATCGGCATCAATCATTCTACCTCAACTCCAGGGGGAGGCCTTGCTATTAAACTGCAGGCAAAAAACACATTCTTTTGTACTCGGACCGCTGAAAAGGTAAAATGAAGAGAAGAGACAACTCAAATGCGAGAAATTCCAACCACTTGTGATTGCGCCACTGCCATGAGGCAATGTATGGATTATGAATGCACGAAAATACTGGAGCACGCAATTCACCTCAGTTAAAATCTTTCTCATAAACAGGATAAATAATCCCGTACAGTGATTCGCGAAATCTGGATCCTTGGATCAAATAAATTATTGACACGTTATCGCCCTACCTTTTGGAGGCCCCGCCGACCAGGTTGCTGGACCAGTTGCGGATGTTGGACCACATCGTGAGTGGCTGCGCGTTCACTGGGCTCTCGGCCGCCGGGGTGGGAGGCCGGGGGCCATCTGAGGGCCCGCACGGTCTCGGGGGCCCTCCCTCCACCTATCTGCAGACACACTTTGTACCCTGGCCACCCACCGACCCGCGGCGCCGGCAGCAATGAACATTAAACTAAGCGCATACAATTGTCTGCGACCGAATGGCAGATTGACGCCAAATCTGGTACTATCTTTGATCAACTACGGCGGGGGTTTATGGCATAAGAATTTATTGCCGTATGACGGCAACGCTCACTGAATATAGAGGTAACGCGACCTCAGGGGCCGCAGATAGGTGTGGCACAACTTTACAGCCTTGTGACACTAGCACCGGCGTAGAGTACAAAATATGAACGGCGTACTACGAGCGGGAGCGTCAGCTCGCTCGTAGAGTGCGCCCGTAGATCAATAGATATACTCCAGTGACATCCAATCAGTCCGTAGTCAAACATAATGCGCCCTAGCAAATGCGATCAAACGTTTGATCATTTACCATGGCGTGTTCGTCAATCGTCCAGCCCCGGCGGCAAACTGATTGCATTATTTATCCGTGTTGTTCCTCCGTTCTACGTCCACATTGCTCCTGCCTCGTACCTACATTTCCCTCTTATCACACGTCAAATCACCGTGTACGCTATCACCCGATTGTTGCAATGAAAAATGGGCCATTTAAGTCCTCAGTCTTCTTTTACAGCACCGTCGCTGATAACCGCACTATGAACAATCGTCAGACCACATTCCTCGTGCCCCTCACGCCCGTCGCCCGTGCATGCAGTGAAGATAGCCGCTTTTTGAGCGCGGTTTTCCGCGCATTCCCCGGGCGGTTTTCGGGTGAATTTGTCGGCGGGTGCGGTGTCACTGCCCAGCCGGCCCCCGTCCAGTAACGGTCGGCCAGCTAACGGCCGCTCCCGTGATCGACGGGGGGCACCGCGCTGGAAAAGACGTCCCACACCAGGAGAAAGGGGTGGCGCGGCGGCCGTTTTCCTTACACGACGCTCCGCGGCACGCGAAGGAATTGTCTCACCCGCGCCCCGGCGCCGGTGAGGCACCACTGAGGCACGTGGTCAGAGGGTGAGACACGGTCAGAGTGTGAGGCAAAACCAGAGTAATCGAAGGAGACGGCCGCGTCTCTAGAGATACGGGATGCGGGACTGCGAGGAATGTGGTGCGAGAGATATTCTGCCAGGAAGGTCGGTATGCTCGACTTCTGGGAAGATGAAAGCTGGGCAATGCGGCCACTCAATCAGTGGATGGTTCTAAGCGACAGATCATATATGTATAAGTGGAGGCGAAAACGAGGAGAAACGTTGCGTATGGCTTTAATAAGTAAATACTTTACTAAGAAGGCGCCTTTTAGACTTGGGATCCACGGACAACTTTTACTAGCTAATTAAAATGGGCACAATGGTGAAGCTCATCAAAGTATATGTTTCCGGGTTTCAAACTACAGTTTCAAGGCTGACAGTTGAACTAATCCGTTAGCCTATTTACGCTTCATTGAGCTCAGTTTATCCGTTAATGACGCTGGAAGGAGGATGAACGGTCAGATTTTGTAGCGGAAGAATCGTATTCCTTAGCACTGCACCAACAAGAACTTTACTGTACTGGTGACCAATTCAAGGATAAATTGCAACAAAATAATGAGGCGCTTGGTGATAATGTAGAGGGCGGGCGGTGTGGTGTCCCCTGCCCAGTCCCCACCTAACCCCAACTCCGAGCCAAGGGAGCCCAGAACACTCACCAGGGCTCTCGGACGGCGTCGATGAAGGCCTTGGCCGGCTCCAGCAGCTTGTTGGCGGCTCCCATCACCATGGTGGATTCGTGGGGCGGTGGTCACCGCGGTCGTAGATCAAACACGCGCTCTCAGGGTGGAACGGAGCGCTGTCTACCTCTGTCGCACTTGTAACCGTGACTGTTGGTGCGATCGGAAACCGCCAGCAGTTTCCAACCTGAAAACAAGGAGAGATGATTGTCAGTATTAGACCATAACATCCCCAATGGTTGAGAAGTAGGCCCATGCATACCATAAAGGGAGCTGTGACTCCATTGATATTAAGCTGGGACCTGGCAAATCCACCTTTAACATCAGATCTATAGCCGAATCATAACCCACATGTCTGAAAAAAAAAACAATTAGTATGCTTACAGTTCGTAAAAGACCGCATGGATGAGGCGAATTCGGATAGCTCCATCAGTGAATAGGACTGTGGAAGGACTGGATCAAGTTTATCCACGCGGCAGATTCCCGCCGTGCAGGGGCGGATATGGATTCAGTTCCCATTTCCCGAGATGTCGGTGCTTTGCTGATGGTGACGCACCTTTGCGTGAGTCTTAACTGCAAATATGTGTTCGACAAAAGCGCACATCACAATCAGCTCTAATAAATGTGGCGCCCTCCCAGCTGCCCGACCTGGCACCGCCTATGCCGGCCGGCCGCACGTGACGCCCTCGGGCGATGGAAGGGCGGCGTCCTTCAATTATGTCAGATTTATTCATCATAATGCTTTTGGTTTTACAGCTATACCGATTTCGTACATATTTAGCACGTATGTGTATTCAGAGGCAAAGTGGTAAGCGATAGGCACTGCAATGCCTGTCAATTTATTGATATTTCGGTATAACTAAATAACGTAGCTATTTTCAAGTGAAAACCATTAACTACGAAAACATCTCGACAAGCGAAGAGCAAAACATGCATATATTTATTAGCAAAAAAGGTACATGAAAACAAAATACGCTGTTGGTTGCAGTCCGTTGATAAGCAGTTGGTTTACATAACGATATATTTGTAAGTCGGTCAGTTGACGACTGTTAGTTCGGCCTAACCGTCTCGTACGTATGAGGAAAAAAGAACCAGGAAGTTCCAAAGAACACCAGTGTTTCAAGGCTATTTCTTTTCCACTGACATGGTATAAAAGAGCAGGCAATGATTCTATTGTTCGCAACAAATGCTCAACTTCACAAAGCTCTGTTCGGTGCTTGGTTCATGCCACTTCAAACTAAATTTAGTAAGATTTGGAGTTGGGCTCACGCAACCACAAAATTAATTTGTCTGTCAAAGTTGGTGTGTTTCTCAATTAATTTGAGACATGCAGCAATGAAATTTAATATATGCCTTATAACAGTACGAAAAGCGTGAAAGAAAAGTGAAATAATGAGTGTAGTGAACTGACTAGTGACCCACTGTGGGCAACAGATGCCGTTCAAAAATCAAACGAACATTTTAGTCTGGACAATTTACTGACATCGCTGATTATGTCTAAAAATAAATGCAATTTGCGGCATTGCCTCTGCAAGACATTCTAATGCGGGCCGAGCAAGTTTTTAAGATAGCTTTCCGCCTGAATGCCTATCTTATGGCATGACCACATTGGGATTAGCCAATATGTTATAAAGCGGGATAAATAAACTGTGTTTCGTTATCATTTCAAGCTTACGGTCGCAACAGCTGACTAACATCTGCATCGCATTTATCATGTGCATCGTATATGCAAGAGCGCATTACGTATGCATAGTTGCACCAAATTTTATCGGCAACCTTGACTTTAATATTTCGGAGTCTTTCACTTTTACCGTTCCATGTTCACAATAAAAACATGCTTTCAACGTTCAATGTTCACGATAACACATGCATATCATTGCATGAACACTGATACATCTGGCTGGCACTGAATTAGCGCTACCAAAGGCTCCACATTCCACAACCGAGTTTGGCAATTAATCCCACAGGCTTCGAAAAAACTCCATCTTCTCAAGATCCATTACCAATATCGATGTATAAAAACAATAAATAGAGGTAAGATATAAGATGAAGAAATTAAAATTAGCAGAACACTGAATATAACGATAAACATCCTCGAACTCTTCACAAGTATGTCACGGTCGAAATATGCATCTCTGCAATGTCCAGCATTTCTGAATTCAGTCAGAATGAAAGAAATGGTGCGGACATCAGATAACTTGAAAGTCATCTTTAACAAAAGTTGCAAGTGAAAAGTGAGCTTCTATTCTGCCGTAGACCATACAAACTTACTAAAAGATATTGCACTATAAGCTAGTACTATAGGCAGTACTATGGGTAGGTATGTGTAGCGTTAGCGGCGTACTGCTAAGCCTGTTGTCCTGTCATGGCGGCGTTTCGGTCATGGTATTGGCGGCCTAATTACCCTAAAGAACGCTTGTCCCACCGTCCCACGGCGATAACATCGTCCTTCGACCATCCGCAAAAATAACACACTTCGTGCACGGAATGTGGAATAAAGTGGACCACTTACAATGGGGCGAATAAATGCGGTAAAATGTCACAAACTGATTTGGACATTAGCTGCATGATCAGGAAACGATGCCATGGATCCTCAGGGCAAGGTCAAAATAAGGTTACCGAATAGTTACGGTTAAATAGGCCTAAACAATGTGAAGTATACACAAATAATGGTACCTACCTATTGTGTGAGGGTCATAATGTACTTCGATCTTCTGAACAATTTTGGCAGTTAAGATCCTTTTTCACAACTCACAAGCCCTTATTTGCATGACCAATGTGGGCGCACAAGAAGTGGCCTATTCACACGCGGTGTATTCAAATGTTGACCGGTTATGTAGTTTTAGATATCAGATTTTAAGGTGATAACTTTAGCGAATGATTCATAGAATGGCACTACGACAAAATCACGGCACGTCGGCAATGCTACCACATGGTCTAAAGGCAAGAATTTGAGCTCGAACTAAAAAAAAAACGAATTCCGATTGCATAGCATCGTCTGATAAGAAAGGAGTGTAAGAAGACCCAGCTACAAAACAAGCGAAGGTGCGAGCATTGAAGGCAGACGCACAGGAGAATACAAGGAAAACACACGGTGAAAAAAGATATTTAAACCAGGCGAACTCTCAAGGAATTACGGACTTTCCAAGTGAATCACGGCAGCGCTACAATTATATCAAACTTATTCAGACACCGGACTAGACGCGTGCAAGGCGCATCTTTTTTGCGCCTTTTTCGCTGTTCCGTACGTCAACTGCTAGCTCCGACCATTGCGATACACATCAAAAGCACTTTCAGGACATCATTTTCCTGGTCGTGTAGCATTGTAGCATATGAGTCACGGCGGCGACACTAGCAAACTCGAACTGCAGACAATGAAGCGATTGTTTCAGACGCGTCAATTGTCCGTCCTAGTTTCAGAGGTAATTAGCTGAGGTCACAGACGACACCGGGCCGCAGGTACGGCGTCGGGCTGAACCGGTGACAGTTGACGAACGACGTCTTCATCGTGTCGCTTGTCAGTTTGTCAATCACACGCGGCGAAACGGGACGTGCGCGCGAGCGGAGCCGGCCGGGAGGTGGACTGTGGAGGGGGGGGGGGGGGACGGATGGTGGGGAACGGGGAGTGATGCAACAACACGCTCAACTGCAACGCTCAGACAATGCTCTAAAATACTCGAGAACATGTGTTAAAGATAACTGAGACATCGTGTTGCGTTTAGTCGGAATGGTGAAAATTGGGCCATTTACATTAGCGGGTTTTAGGCGCACAGGAAAATTTCCTCAATAAGATCATCCAATTTTATGTCATTATGTTTTGATGAAATTATGATTAGTTAATATGTCAAACACCACAGCGTGCTGTGATAAGATCCAAATTGGCGATTCGGCACAGACGTAAAGGGGTAATTGAACGCATTGTTTGACTTTAAATGAATGTCGATCATCGATCTGCTCACACACTATTAGCAGTTGCGATAGCAATCCGGAGAGGGTTAGGGAAAAAGGAAATATGAGCGGAACATGAAAAATGAAAGTGAAATCATCGATAATATGAATGACTACAAAATAGCTATATGTTAATAATAGACATTAACAAGGCAAAATGTGACGCTAGTCTCACACTCACCCATAACAATTAAAAAGCGATTAAAATAGCGCTTATAATCAGGCATTTGAGCACATCCCGCTGCCAGACATAACACTTACGGTATCAGACCTTGCAATTCTAATATGAATTTCGCTAACATATGTAATGTATGTATACCGCACGCATATCTACATTCTACATATAGGTATGCACCAGTGCACCTAAATATACGGGAAACTAGTCGGTTACAAACAATAAGTTGATCATTTAAACTAAAAGAGCAAATACCTATTCCAAACGAATTTGATCAAAAAAAAAAAATCGCAGGCATCGTCTGAAGTACTTTTAAGATGCATGAAAATACGCATACTTTTTTAAGAAATATGTGAAATTATGCTGTAACTACGCAGCAAGCACAGCTAGATCAAACAAAATTATTTCAGGAGGAAACAAGTTTTTTTCCTTGCCATGTAGCAATAAATGAAACTTTGTATTAACACCATGGTATTCCTTGAACAACGCGAACTTTGTAGTATCCAGCAAGCCGCAAGGACACTTTAATTAACGTGAAGCATTAAGCGAAGGCATTCATTTTTTCCAAAGATAAGTACGCGACGGTTGAATTATTTTGCTCGTGGAAACTATCAGTCTTTCGGCAAGATGGGCCCGGAGGATATTGCTGGTCGTCTTTAACCACTATATGAGGCTGTGCGTGGCGGCTGTCATCAAGCAGCTGAAGTGGTTGACTGCCAAGGATTTGGTAACATACCACACAGTGAGTGCTGTCGAGCGTATCTTTGTGTCGGAGCAGCCGGAGTACCTCAAAGGTACGCTGGGGCAGCGGGCTAGCCAGCGGCACCGGCACAACACTAGGCAGGCCAGCTACCTCACCCTCCCCTTCATTCGAACGGAGTCGGGAAGACGTAGATTGTGCTACCGAGGTGTGACTCGTATGAACGAACTTGGAGTAGAACCAGGGACATTGTCGTACCGGGCGAACATCCGAAAGGTGCTGCTGTCTAAGCAACAGACATGAGCAATAGCATGTATGGGTGCGTGTGTGGGAATTATGCGTGCTGCACACTGTTCCTCGTTTTGTATCACGCTATATGACGTGGACATGTGAAAAGCCTCACTATTGAGAGGACCTTGTCTGAATATATCTGTAATCTGTAATCTGTAATCTGTAAGGCTTTTTCTCCAATCATTCAACCGATAATAATAATTACTTTTACACTGTGCAGTGTGCATGCCTCAATTTGCCCTAGTTGCGTCAGGTCCATAGGTAATGTCAAACTGCGCACTGAAAAGACAGTCAACAGCCAAGACACATAACCATAACCACTTATTGGCTTTGCGACCCTACGAGTTACCATGACTGTCATACCCATGATTTTCTCAATTCGCTGACGCCAGTGCGCCTTGTCGAATGTCGATCATCAAACCCCCATGGCTGTCCAGGTCCACCGAAGCACCAGGCGACTGAAGAGCCACCTACTGGGCATGCTGTGCACCAATAGTTTTACGAGTCCACGGCGCATGTCAGTGGTGGCGCGCAGGTGCATCTGACTGACATGAAAATATTCATGTCGACAGGGCTAGCGTCTAGCCCATGTAAATCTTAATCAGATTCCATGTTGTTCATTAGCATTTTACGTAATGCACAGTGCATTATGCACGAACCCTGAGCAGCAGGTTCAGCTGAGCGCCACCAGGGCGCGCTGATCGGCAGCGGTGCAGCCTCAGGTGGCGCTAGTGTAGCCAACAATGTTTGGGCGTCCAAGCAGCCAAGTGTTTCGACAGCCTAGCTCTCTCGGAACAATGCATCCTGAGCTTCCAAGTCTCATGGTCCGCGTCTTTGAGAAATATTGACTAAAAACTAAAAAAAAATGCAGCTTGATAACTTCGGTACTAAGTCCATATTCCATGAAATGTATTCCGGCATACATATTCCACAAAAATGTTTCGACCGAATCAAGATCTGAAATACGACTTTTCAAGCTACCAAAATTCAGATGGCAAGAATATTCATTACATTTATACCTAATGAGCCTGCAAATAACAATTCTCTCTACCCAGAGGACCAGTCCGTCCACATCCTCGTTCATGTCACCTTGTCCGGGCTGGCGGTCAGCGGTCACCCCACCCAGACACTCCACTGGTGGATGGTAACCCAAAAAGGGCCATCACCTCCGCGGTGACCGTCTGAGTGGCTGAGTGTGACCTGCACCATCGAAACGCTACCTTTTAAACGGCACGGACTTGACCACTGTGGCGTACCTGTTTGTGGTTGAGCAAGCTAAATGTCTCACCGGTCTCTCTCGGCACCTGCCATTTTTCAGGCAGGTAGGTATACAAGGATTACAAGTAGAGAAAGGACTTTGGTAAATGAATAAGAGTCATGCATTTTTCATCAAAGATGTTTCCCGGTCACGATTCGGGGAGAAAGCGCCCTAAGTGAAATCTAGGAAGTCCACAAGCCCCCTTACATGAATCTGCAATGGGCCTTTCGCTAGGCCCCTATATTTTGTGGAAATGCCTGTTACAACGAAATTTTAAAGCCTAAGGACTATGGAATGTCAGGAGGCTGGGGGAGATAGCAATTAAAAATAATAATGGAAGTTGAAGATGAAACTAGTCAACTAGACCTTAAAAAGAATGGCACATTTTTTTAGCATCACCAAAGGTAACCTCAAATGAGTAAGAGGTGGACCGCTCACTATAGCCGCCAAGATCACATCGGAAACCATTTCAGAAGACGTGACCAGAAGCGCACAAGGCACCTGACAGCTGGGGCTGTTAAGACTAGAGACCATCCCCGCGTACCGATCACAACATCGACCAGCTATTCGACAGACAATTCACAATACACATGGCCATAAGATGCGTAAAAACCAAACAGTTTCTACCGGACCAGTTTGAGCCTATGTTATCAGAAAGGTAAAATAACCGAAGTCCTCGGTTACCTGTGCAGGTTGGACGAGCAAGCTCAGACGGCTGAAGTCTCCCAAACCAATGTGTTCCCCAACTGGGACGGATGAAGCTCCACAGGTCCGATGTGCTCACCACGGGTCCCAACCAACTACTGACCGCCAGTCCCCTCATCCGACCGACCATCACACGCGCAGCATCACGGCGTCAGACGGCGGGCGTGTGACGATCTACGTCACGCCCCTCCCTGCCCCCTACCAGGAGCGGCGCCTTCAGACCCGCTGAGCACACGCCGGTCACGCGTGGTCGTGGTCAGTACGGAATAGCCGTCACAACCGTCCAGAAACGAGAAACAGTCGGCGCGGAGGGGTGTGGCTGTCACCACAGACGTCCGAAAAGACGACAAACAGAACCGAAATGAGCCGAAACACGCAGCGGTCTGATACAGACGCTAATTAGTGCTGGTAAGGAACGAAAACAGCCGACGTCTTAGAACTCAGCCCTTCTCCATGCGTCGGCTATTTTCCTATATCGGAAGAAACTGACACCTTGCGACCTCGTGTACATCTTGACTGTGTTAGCAACGCTCAGAGGCCGTAATGTGTTTATTCTGTTGATTGTTCTCGTTTACAGCGCTGGTCATCGTTTCCGCCCGCTTCAATCGTTCCACCGGGTTACTGACTGTGTGACTGATCTACTAAAGCCAGTCAGGTGATGGCTTCCAAATGCTTCGAGGATCGGCGTCATGGCGAACCGTCGTAATTTCGCAATATGGACAAACAAGTCGTCACTGACCCCAGAAAACTGACCCCAGGCGAGTGAAAAGGTTTCACCAGACCAGTGAGGAAATATGTCACAAAAATGTGAGTAACGTAGTGAGAACCATGATTGCTAGTCAGTACCGTGGAAGACTGTGCAATGTGTGCTGGCTGACAGTGTTATCTCAGAAAAAAGACGCGTCTGACAGACGTCACCCAGACTGTAAAAGACACTTTAAAAAGCGCATTTTCAAAATCGTGGAGGCGGCAGACGCCCAGAGAATTGGAAAGAAAAATATCGTGATTTGAATGAAAACAAATTAAATTTGATTCAGTTTGTAAATTGATCTAATAATTTTGGGTAGTTGAACTATAGCAGAAGTGTTCGGTAAAACGTGGGTCAGTTTGCGGGACGCCATTTCGGCCATGACGATTTTCTACCAACAGAACAACTTAGCATTATAACTTCACAGTCACAGCTTTTATCAACATAACCAGTAAAAAAATACACGACTAAAACAAAAAATAACTGATTCACCGAAGGTACCGAAACAGGTATTAAAAAATCAAACGCTGCACGACATGTCAGACAAATCAGGTAAAAAGCGACTGCAACGAAGGCCTTGCGACATTAACTGGGAAGAAGTGAGACTCGCAAGAACCATCAAAAGGCATTGAACATTCTTTTTCTGCATTCCTAGGCTTCATAAAAAGAAAGACAAATGAGGTGTCCGTCTCGTATTTCAAGGAAGTAGCGTTCTTCTTGACAACAAAGTGACAACAAAAGTCGGCAGGACAGTAAATGTAACTCAACAAACAATTTTCTCCCAGAAAAAGAGCTTCTCGTTAGTTCTCACTCAAAGGCTCTATAAACGAGCTTGGAAATGAGCTCCTCTAAAAAATACGGATGAATAAAACACGATCCTTTACAAGAAACCTTTAAAGAGATGTTGCCAGCTCTGTATGCTTGCAATGAAGGGCAGATAATTTTTCTCTATAACTTAAAATGCTACATGTAATAAAATGCTTTGAATTTTATTTGGAAAACTTACAATATGCCACCACACTGTTTGGTGCATTTACTGTCATGAGCAAACACTGAATCCGTCGTCAGCGACTGTTATTGATTGTTATAAAACATTTGACAGGAAGTATGTACTACCTCGGGATGGCCTACGAACCGATCTTCGGTAAACTAACAAGAAACGTCACATCCTGGGGCTGCTAGGGTATCTGGCGGCTGTCACGGTGTTCTACTACACAAACCAGCCCTGACAAACGGTTGGAGGAAGCCAGCTCCCAATCTGTCCAGGGAAGACTAATTATTCTTCTCACTAATTAATTCTCGCTTCCCATTCGATGAGCCATGAATGAGCCAACTAACCTGATGTTCAGTGCGTGTCCGGCCGGACGACAGGACCAGTGACGGCAGTGCTGTGTAGCGGCAGGTAGGGTCGGGACCAGCCCCCCTCATCTGCCTCAGTACAGAGGTAGACTGGTGGCGCGCACCGGCGGCCGGCTCTCGTTCCCCTGCAGGCTGCCCTCGTTTGCATATGGGCCTCCTCTGCGGGCCGACCGGCCGGCCGGCCAGGAGGCCCGCCCCGCGCGCTGCCGCGCCGCCGCTGTTCGACGCTAGCCGCCCAGGGCGATGGAATTCAGAGGCTGTTTGCCGAGCCGGCCGGCCAGCCATCGGCAATGGCTTTCTCCGAACGGGTGATGCGTGCCGCCGATATGCGACCATGGCGTCCAGCCGAGACTTATCGGGGGACATGCTCGCTTACAAATTCGCCACCTCGTCTCGCCGCGGAGCGACCCGTCCAGAGCCGGCCATTAGCATACTATGGCGATCGGTGTCATTAGCATAGTACGTGAGCCACCGTGCGGTTATCTGAAGGCCGGAGGCGGGCCGTACACGCTCACAACTGATGCTCAGAGCGGGTATGAATTATTAACCGGCTGTTTGGGTGGTGGCCGCAGCCGCCCAGACTGTTCCGAGTTCAGTCATCTATAGTTAGACGGTTCCTGGAATTATTAGCGCCGATCTCCAGAACTCGGTGGGATAGTGATTTGGCGTAGCTAGAAACCATTGTGGGAAATAGGTGGCCACAGACACACAAAAGGGCAATGAAGATTTTCAACTGACCATGGAAAATATGAACGGAAAACCGTACAAGACACATGATTCCGTACGAGACACAAGACAAACACATGATTCGATATTCAGAGAAGGACCATGCACATGAGAGACGAACTAGAGCGCGATAGAACGCAAATGAGGGCCACGACTCGCTCCAAAAACAGCTAGAACTCAGGTCAAAGAGGATTTGCAAAGCATGCACATGTATGTAGGCGGTTTCGCAAAGTGACCCTGCTGGGCTGTCCGGTCAAGGGGCCCCGACTCTCCGACATGACACGGCCCCAGCTGGCCTTGACAGGTCACGCTGGCCCCTGTGATCTTGCCCCGATATCTGGACCGTTCACCGGATCTCGTTCCTGATGCAGAGGCCCCTGCAACGCATAAATAGCTGTGTACATTGTGCTGCGACCCTTTGTGTGATGGATCTCTTTTTGGAAATGCCTGCTGCGTACTACATCGGACCACACAAGTTCAACGGACTTTTCTCGATGATGATGGCCATGCTGGTGGAATTTTATGGTGGTCAAATCTATCTCAGAAAAAGCTTGTAATGTATGTATGCAGTTAGGTCGGAAAATAGTAAAGCAAGGTGAAGCACCTTGTGTGAACAAGTTGGGTCGGAAACTAGAGCGACAAATTTGTCCTAAGCATACTTCACATGCGTAGAAGATATGCAAATCGAGGATACATAATGTGAGGCCTCAGCACACCATACATAATCATGTCGAGTAAGGTTTAACGACAGTTCACACCCATATGTCAGCTGTAAATCGCAAGATGCGATCGGTGAGTGACTTGAAGGTCATCAGTGTGACGTCAATACAGCAGCACTGCATGTTCCAGACATGGCGACCAACATTAGCCATCTCATGTCTCCAAGACACCACTGGAGAAAGGCAGACAAGCCACCCCTGGAGAAAGGCAGACGGTATACGACACTGACTACTCGGTCCATGAATTCGTCAGAGCGGTTAGAACGAGCAGCATCGGAGCGCCATCCGACTCTGGGGATGCTGGCGATTCATCTTTGATCATTGTGCAATACGTTATGAGACGATCAGGATACAGCCGCCGACAACGATGAGTTAGTTGACTTAAGGACCAGGTGTTCAACCAGACATTGCTGGAGCATAATAAGGCGCTCGAGTCAACACGGAAGAAGCGCCTCACTTTTCGCGGATTGCTCGTTAAGCATTAATACATTGAGTAAGTCATGAATCGCGCATTTAAGCATCGCAGAACCACGAATTGAGCGAGAATCAAACCCTCAAGAAACTTCTGCATCTGCAAGCACTGCAAGAATCTGCATACCTACAGTATTTTGTCATCGCAACGCAATCTCTTTCGCGCGTCAAAAAAAAAAAAATAAGCACATATGCTTTTCATATTAGAACAGCTACCTTCTGAAACAGCATTCTACAAGAGGTATGACGTCATTAGACCAAAATAGGCCGTCGGCGAGGCTAAATCTGCGAGTGCGGACCCGGAGCCGGACGCTACTGGTGGTACAGTCGTGTACAGGTTGATGGTCCCCTACTCTTTATCCACCGGGTTCCTATGGCTCAGCATTGGCAGCAGCCGCCTGGTACCGGTAGGCTGTGCCGCATGACCCGAGAGTGAAGCGGCACAGTCTACCCACGCTGTTTGACATCGGCTCGGGTCGCCGGGTGGAGCGCTTTGTAGACCAGCTGTCGCGTCAGACCAGCGAGGGGGGAGGGGCTCGTCTCGGTGGTTGGCGTGGGCTGGCAAGTGGTGTGGGGCGTGTTGGTGGACCATGGGGGCTGGGCGGGTGTGTGTGGTCACTTGCTGCATTGCACATTTTGCGTCGCTTAACAATTGCATTCCTGTTTTTGCTAAGCACAATGCACGGAAGACCCAGCGAATATAATTTACTTGTGCATTGTGCAAAACGTGATTTGGCACGGTATCGAGGCAACCATAGCTCTTGTGCCACATATATGCATGACATTTAGGCAATACGCTTATAAAAATGGTAGATTGATCGGATTGATCCTGGATGTCATTTCGTATGCTAAATGTCGACATGTCAAAAATGAACGAATGAATGAATCAATCAATCAATCGACAATCGACATGTAGATATAAAACCGTATAAATGGCTCGCAACCACTAAAATCAAACCAAATCCTAACTCGGAAAAGTAGCCGGAGCCGCGATGAGGCTCGAACCGGGACTCCACGTTGAAAGTTTTGCCAATGATCCATCATCATTCCACCAAGCTAGAGCGACCGGCACCCGAAACCACAAAAACATTCATTGACTTTGCTGCCGACCTCCCGGCCCCGCCGCCCGCCCGGCCAGACTTTGCCCCGGCCGTGGCCACCATCCGGTGTAGCTCAGCGTAGGAGTGCTCAGAGCCTATTTTAAGGGAATTTGACTGGGGGGGGGGGCAACCTGGAAAATTGTCTTTAATAATTCCATTAACCCTCGCCCGTATTGGTGTTTTCCAGCTGCGAACGTATATATGGGGGGGGGGTCCGTTGGACCCTCCCCCTTGCTGTTTCGCCCCTGATCGAGTTAGAGCTTCGCGGAAAAAACGACCGTTGACTGTGATGAAAGGAAGCCGATGATACCCAATTTAAAGGTCCTAGGTCATCGGTTGACCTTCCAGGTCAGGTCAATGACCCAAAAGTCGGGAAAATCGGGAGTTAGAGCATAGTAAAGGGTGGCTGCTATGGTTTTTTCGGGGTGCTGATCACGAATATCATCTTAGTTATGATCATAGATGATGTCTTCATGCATTTAGGCCAGGCCGGGTCAGGTCAGGTCAGGTCAGGTCAACCAGTAAGGGTTTTGCCGGGTATTCGTAGCTGGTGACAACCGCCTCTGACAGCTCCGTAACATGTTACGAAGGCACCAAAACTACAGGGTGTCTCAAAAGTTCCTTGACACATTTCCCATGCCAATAAAGCATATAAGAACCGGCCAAAAATCTAAGGTTTTGGTGTCTGTGTGTACAGGGTGTCTCAAAAGTTCGTTCACAGGTACCAGCCATGCTTTTTTGTCAATAATTCTGAATCAACAAGAAATTAACAGTCGAAATTTTGCATGGGCATTGGTGACAACCTTCCTCAAGCAGCCTCATTGTTTTCAAGTGCATTCGACCCTTCATGAGCTCACAAAAAGGGTTCACCTCTGACCATGGGTCAGGCACGAAAATGTAGGTTGCAAAGTCGGGTATGTTGTGAAACTCTCTGTTTCAGGAGTAATGGGAATGGTTAAGTCGGAAATGACACATGGCTAAGTGTCGGCGAGGATGAGTGCAACATGATGATCATCTCATAAAAACGGTGGCTAAAATTTTTGAAGGACGAAACCATGCGAGACTAACGGCGTTTTGAACGACCCTCGCACAACAGCAGACTCGTGTTCCGGAAAGCAGCTGAAAATGCGGTCATAACTATTGAAAACTGGCAAGAAGGTCACAGACAGAGGTTACCCATTTTCAAAAAGTGCAGGTCATCGTAAAATAAAGACAAATTATAATTTAAAATTGTTTATAATATCTATAACGCTAATTTTTGGGGACAATAACACAAAAATCGTCAATGCCAAGGACACCTGACCCTCCAAAAGTATCAGTTATTGTAAAATTTTATCTAGCGAAGTTTCAAGAGGCAGATCTGCAGCGAATAATTTTCTTTTAAACACAAAATCCCGATAAAACCACACGATGGACAGGTTTGGGCCGTTTACAAAGCAGAACATCTCCCGAGGAAAACACTCCGCAACCGAGCGAAGGTCTTGGCATGGGGAATGACGAGCGCTTGGAATTTGCAAAATTTGCACAATGTGTCTGAGAAACAGACGTCCGACACATTCTGCTACCATATGATGCGAAAAATTTACTCCTGGTACTTTCCGTTTGTTCAGGACTGGGGTCGTTTTGAAAAGGAAAATGGCGCTTGGGATGTCGGCGCCAGTCATTCATGAAGGAGTTAGCGCCAGAGAATGCCTACAAAATACTCAAGAATGGTGTCGATGCAAGCTGTCGGCTTTCAGGGAAAATCAGATGTTGCCGGGGAGCTAGTCAAAACTAAATCCGACGCAGAAACTGCAGGGGATTCCCCTGCAAGAGCTTGAAAGCTGGTAACCTTTTATCAGCCTCCGGCAGCTGACGGAGCAACAAAAATCGGTATGGGCAAATATTTTTGGAGATACAGCAAAGGGGTTGGTTTCCAACCTTCTTAATCAGTTGTCAAAGCATGCATATTTGTCTAGTGTACACACAGACACCAAAACCTTATACTTTTGGCCGGTCCTTATATGCTTTATTGGCATGGGAAATGTGTGAACGAACTTTTGAGACACCCTGTACACTAGACAAATATGCATGC